TCCACAGAAGCCAAATTCTCTTCCTAGATACTGCCGCATCAAACGTATACCAAAGGACGTCCAGCACCCCTCTAACATTAAGCCTTCCTTTTTGTCGTAAATGCACGTATCTGACTGCTGTCCTCTTCTAATTGCTTTTGGGGGAGCGCTTTTGGGCCGGGCTGGACACCGAGCTCGGACCCCTCTCCCCAGACAGGGGGAGGGTGCCCCGGGCTCGGGAGCTCTCTCACTGGACAGTACTGCAAATACGCATAACCTTTATTTAATTATATGTAAGTGCGAACTCGTGAAATATTTCGACTTTATTCTCGTATTGCTACAACTTTATTCTTTTTTTTTTCTCAAAATATTATCTTAGATTTTTTTAAAGTGGCACTAAAAAGCCGTCGTACATAATGCTATTCACCTTTATTCTCGAAATATTATGACTTAAATCCCATATTGCTACGACTTTATTTTCAACAATAACCAGATAGCAAATGACATCTGGCCCAGTTCTGGCCCACATCTCCCACATTCTTCTGGCCCACATACCGCGAGGAATGACGGCGATGACTCAACCTGAGTCTGGCTGACAGAAGTCAGAGACAACTGGACCGGATCTGGGCCGCATCTCACAAATGGCATGGGCAGCACCTGGCCCAGATGTCACCCACGCCATTTCTGAGATGTGGCCCAGATCCGGTCCAGTTGTGGCTGACTTCTGGGTTAGATAATAGAGCAAGCTAGTTTTAGAGGCCTTTTTTTACTTTAGTTAATTGTATAATAAAAAAACTAAACAAATAGATAGATAGAATACAAAAAGATTAGAGAAGCTAGTGTGTTTTTTTTTAAGAAAACAAGCAGTTCATAAATGAAAGACAACATATACACATGACATGTATATCACAACATATTAGGGCTGTGCGATTTGGGGAAATATCTAATTGCAATTTTTTTGACAGATATTGCGATTGCGATTTGATTTCCGATTTTAATTTTGCAAAGTCAAGCTTCAGCTTAATATTGTCAATAGTGTGGAGCACAGTATGGGTTTCGTTACCCTGCTGAAAAAAAACAATAGAAACCATCACAGAAATTCTTATGGTTTCCATTAAAACAATTACAAAATTCCTTTTTGTAGTGTGTTTTGGGCATTATTCCAATAGGAATTACTGTTCTATTGTTTCCCATCTGCCAGTTTACATCCCACCAATAGAATCCATCAAATACCAGTAGACACCATTATAGTTATATTAAAACCAATATAATTCTCATTATAACTCTTAAATCCATTAAATTGTCTATTGTGTTTTGGGAGGGGTTCTATTGTTTTTTTCAACAGGGAATATTACTTTTACAGAATTTACTTAATTACTGAATTTCACAGGAATAGGATGATTTATTCGTTTTTAAGTATTTGGGATTTTAAGAACAAGTGGAAAATGTGCTGAATGTTTCATTTCATCCAAGTGAAATTAGCAAAGCAGTTAAACTGAATTTACATTTGTGTTAAATACGGAGACAGGCGTGAGTTGACACAGGTTGCAGCCGTGCGTCAAGCCTTGTCCATATTGCCAGATGTGCTCGTAGAGGCTTGTGGTGTGGAGTATACCGAGTATAAACGAGCATTACGAAACAGGCTGCATATGAACGGCAAGTGTAAACGGATCCTCCGTGAGACGTGGCAGAGAGGAGAGAATATGAGAAGCATTCAGAGACACAGGCTGTGTCTTCTGAATTGGGAATAGCGAACATGCATTATAAACTTATTTCAAATTAGAATCTGTTGGGGAGATAAAATGTGCAAGATAACGTATATGTACTAATAAAAACATCTAGGAATGTATCTTTTACTCTCCAGTACTGAAAGCAGAACCGATAAGGTTGATATGTGTTGTGACACAGCTCTTGCAAATTAACATTACCTTTTTTGTTTGGTGTCTGTCATTTCGAAGCCGAAGTAATCTCATATTACATAATTTTTTCTTTAGTATTAATTTGCCTGACTATCGATCTGACCCTGTAGACGCCATAATCACACACACTCTCTCTCTCTACCGCTTTCTGTTTGTTTTTTTAAATGGTGGGTGTTTACACATTTAGCTAGAGCAGTGCTGATTGGGGAGAATGGAGGTGCGCTCACTCTATTGGTTAGTAAGACTGCCACACAAGGCTGGCAGTCATGCATATGCTCTGGAACAGAGTGAGTATGAGAAGCATTCAGAGACACAGGCTGTGTCTTCTGAATTGGGAATAGCGAACATGCATTATAAACTTATTTCAAATTAGAATCTGTTGGGGAGATAAAATGTGCAAGATAATGTATATGTACTAATAAAAACATCTAGGAATGTATCTTTTACTCTCCAGTACTGAAAGCAGAACCGATAAGGTTGATATGTCTTGTGACACAGCTCTTGCAAATTAACATTACCTTTTTTGTTTGGTGTCTGTCATTTCGAAGTCGAAGTAATCTATGAGATTACATATGATTACATAATTTTTTCTTTAGTATTAATTTGCCTGACTATCGATCTGACCCTGTAGACGCCATAATCACACACACTCTCTCTCTCTACCGCTTTCTGTTTGTTTTTTTAAATGGTGGGTGTTTACACATTTAGCTAGAGCAGTGCTGATTGGGGAGAATGGAGGTGTGCTCACTCTATTGGTTAGTAAGACTGCCACACAAGGTTGGCAGTCATGCATATGCTCTGGAACAGAGTAATATCGCGTCCACATCGCAGATTTTGCAATTAGCAAATCGCAACGTCTCAAATCGTGATTCGATTATTTGCACAGCTCTATAACCGATACATACAGAATTCCATTAAAGTATATGCATTCAACTATTCTCACTGAACTGATACATTGCTAACCAGAGGAGCACAACAAATTTCTGCAAGAGGAGTCAAAGAAATAGAGAATTCAAATCAACAGTTCGATAACTAGCTAACTAACCATGAGCCGGGCAAAAGGGGAGTCCATGAAACAGGCAGAGGTCAAAACCAGAAAGCAGTCCAAAGAAAACATCAATCCAGAGGGTAATTCAGACACGAGGTCAGGGGCAAGCGAGGGTCAGAGCCAAAAAGCAGTCCGATACCAACAACCTGGAGACAGGACAAGACAACATCTTAAAGGTGCTTTATGTATTTTTGACAATACTAAAGCATTAAAATATTATGTTTGCAGATATAGAATGTTTGCAGCACCCAGTTCAACCGCAGGCTGTCAATATTACATAATGCACCTTTAAATCTTCTCTCCTGGCCTCCATCCCATCTCTGGCAAGCTGCAGCCATCTTTTAACCCAGTGTTCGACTTCCTGGTCTGTTGCAGTGGCGGTAGTTTGTATGTCCATCTATAGTTGCCATCATCTAAGGTCTTTTTGAGTATTGGCATCATCTGAAGTCCTCACAAGTCCTGGTGCTGTGCAGTTTCTAATAACCCTGGGATGGACATTTGGAGAAACAGGAAGGCAAAGGGAGAAAGATTAGCATAGCTGCTGTTCATAATATTTCAGGCAAAAAATTATCATGAGCACTTTTTACTATTTCATCAATGGAGTACAAGGTTATGACATGTGTTTTGTGAATGCTTGGCTAAAAAGGAGTGTTTTGAATCTAGCTTTAAACTGAAAGAGTATGCAGAATGTTTCTAGATCCCTTAATAAACATGTTATTTGTTCTCAGTATTTGGGGAACAGACACAGTCTCTATAGAATGGACTACATATGCCAGAGTATCATTTAATAAAATTTAAGTGGGAGGAACATCATAACTGTAATTTACACAACCATTCAAGAGTTTGGTGTATGTAAGATATTTTATGCCTTTAAAAGAAATCTCTTATGCTCATCACGGCTCAATTTATTGGATCAAATTACAGTAAAACAGTAACACTGTGAATTCAAAACAACTCTTTTCTATGTGAAAATTATGTTAAAATGTAATTTATTCCTGTGATGGCAAAGCTGATTTGTCAGCATCATTACTCCAGTCTTCAGTGTCACATGATCTTCAGAAATCATTCTAATATGCTGATTTGCTGCTCAAGAAACATTTCTGATTATGATCAATGTTAACTTACAGATATGCTGACATTTTTTTTAGGATTCGTTGTTACATAGACTCCAAACCTTTGAATGGTAGTGTTACATGCATTAAATTGATCAAAATCATGCGTAAAGATTTTTGTTTCAAATAAATGCTGGTCTTTTGAACTTTCTATTCATCTGTGAATCCTGAAAAATAAAATGTATCACGGTTTCCACAAAAATATGAAGCAGCACAACTGTTTCAACACTGATAACAAGTTTCTTGAGCAGCAAATCAGCATATTAGAATGATTTCTGAAGATCATGTGACACTGAAGACTGGAGTAATGATGCTGAAAATACAGCTTTGATCACAGAAATAAATTACAGTTTAACAGATATTCACATAGAAAACAGCTGTTTTACATTATAATAATATTTCACTGTTTTCACTGTATTTGTGATCAAATAAATGCAGCCTATTAGAATGATTTCTGAAGGATCATGTGACAATAAAGACTGGAGTAATGATGCTGAAAATACAGCTTTATCATCACAGGAATAAATTACAGTTTACAATGTATTCACATAGAACACAGCTATTTTAAATTGTAATAATATTTCACAATATTACTCTTTTTACTTATTTTTAATCAAATAATTACTGCAGAGGTGAGCAGAAGATAATTCTTTCCAAAACATTACAAATTTGATCAATTTCAAACTTTGAACACTAGTGTATGTTGGAGATTTGACTTACTAGTCTAATGGTCAATAGCATCTTGGAGATGTAGTCTGACAAGGAGGTTCGCTCCAACTCTGCTGGGGTGCAGCAGGCCATCAGCATTGAAGAATCTAGGAACAAAACAAGCAATTTGACACAGAGCCAACAATATTTAGTATGCAGTTCCAGGTTTATTAGAAGGAAACACACTAGAGCAGAGGTGAAATGCAAAAAACAAAAACGATAATATATTAAACATATACAAAGGATAATATATTAAATATGAACAAGTAAACCTTTCTTTTGTCACTCTTGAAATCACAGAACAGTTTTATCAATATTTGTTACCATAAAAGATCAAAACAACTTTAGATTAGTTTTCAGTTGATCTTCGCGCTCCTTGATAACGGTACGTCACCGGTAAACAGCAAAGTGTATAGGTTTAGGTTAAATAAATCACGCGTTTAAATTACATAAATAAACATATGAATAAACATATCCCCCTTATTTTTCATGTAAAAGTGGGCGTGGCCATTTGTAAATTGAATGTGTCTGGCTTCCGGTGTCATTCCAGCTATATTAGCTGTACAAACAGCTTGTTTTGCTGTTTGCTATTGCAAACTGGTGTATCTTACCATGTTATTTTGATGTATTGTCTTAATTATGAACGTACTGGTTTATAGTGCAAACAGTTTTACCATTTACTGCACTTTGTTCTTCTCGTTATTTCCCTATAACCATGACCACAAGTCTCACACATTCACATACAATTGCTTGGTGGATAGAATTAGATCACTACATAAACAATTCAAAATGTCATTAAATTATGACATTGCATTTAAAATTCATTTTGTAGTTCAATGGCCCAGTGCAAAATGCCAAGCCTGCACGTGATAGTGGGACAAAGTGGCACTTTTATAGTTTAAGATTTTTTACGAACACTTATGTGCATCTCAAAAAATTAGAATATCGTGAAAAAGTTCTTTTTTTGTAACATTTCAAAAAGTGAAATTTTCATATATTCTAGATTCATTACACGTAGAGTAAAACATTTCAACAGTTTTTTAATTTTGATGATTATAGCTTAATTTAATTAATGTAATTATTGCATTTAAGAACACTGAAAATTATCAAAAAAGAATAAAAAGGAGTTAAATAAATTTTAATTCATTTTAACGAATCCTTGTCCACTGGTGTTACTCTACTGGCGTCACATCGTAGTAGACCGTACAGGCGTCACACCGGAGGACATTTTCTGTCACACCAAAGGACGTTTCAGACTTTTGTGTCAATTAATGACCTTGCTATTCCAAGCTAACCTGTCATTAGCGGTAAGCAAGACACATTTGCATAATTTTCTATGATTATGTAGTTTAACATGCACTTTTTAATTAAAAAATATAATTTAGGGGTGTCACATTAATGGACAACAAAATGTAAAAGTTTATAGTGGTTCCAAAAAAGCTAAATATTTGAACAATTCTGAGACAACAATTTACCTTGTGCACATGTCATGGGCTTCACAGGGGGCTTCAGTAACACGACCATGAATGGGGTTCTTCAACTAATTAAAGTTTTCTCTGGAATTGGCCAATTTAAAATCAGGATATGGTTTTCAGATACAAAAATGTGTCAAGTTCCTACGTTTTCAGAATGTATGGATGAAAAAAAATTATTGCCATTTACTAAAATAGTAAATTATGCCAGAGGTATTTATTAACATTTTTATGCTTTTATTTTTCATTTATAAAAGTTGTCATTTATTGAACCATGCTTGAGACAGTCACACCACAGGACAATTTTGAGATTTGGCTCAAAAATGTAAAAAATCGAATAACACTGCAGCTTTATAACAGGTCCGTGTAGGACAAAGAAATATATATATATATATATATATGTGCTGGGGAAAGTTACTTTTAAAAGTAATGCATTACAATATTGCATTACTCCCTAAAAAAGTAAC